CAAGCCTGAGGCTGAAGGAAGAGCATTTGGGGCAGAAGGGACAGCCAGTACAAAGGCCCTGAGTTAGGAGTGTTGCAGGCATGTTGGGGAGCAGCGGGAAGTCAGTGTGGTGGCCAAGAGCAAGATGACGTGAAAGAGGGAATGACAGGGTCAGGTGGTACAGGACCCTGTTGGGCATCCTGAGGACTATGTCTTACTCTGAGCAAAATGGGGAATCACCAAAGCATTTGAACAGAGGAGTGACAGGCTCCAACTTCATATTTTAAGGGGTCTTTCTAGGAGTTGAGAACAGAGTGGAGGGGAGCAGGGCACCCAGGGAAACCACATGCCAATCTTATGTGTTTTATAAATAAATATATATAATTATAGGCATAGGTATAGAGTTACATGGTTGTATATATAGCTTTAGATAGCTGTTTTTTTGTTGAGATTTAGGGAAATGGTTCGAGTGCTAAAAAAAAAAAACAAAAAAAAAAACAAGAAGGGGGCACCTGGGTAGCTCAGTTGGTTAGGCGTCTGACTCTTGGTTTCAGCTCAAGTCACAATCTCATGGTTCGTGAGTTCAAGCCCCATGTCAGGCTCTGTGCCGGCAGCTCGGAGCCTGCTTAGGATTCTCTCTCTCTGCCCTTCCCCCACGTGCACTGTCTCTGTCTCTCTCCAAATAAATAAAAAAGTTAAAAAATTTTTTTAACATAAGAAGAAACCAAACCATTACTAAGGTCTGATGCTGAAATTAGAGTCCTTGTATTAACTGATGAACTGACCCAGAGTGGCCACAGGGAACAGCAGAGCCACCAGGGAAGGCCACCTGCAGGAAGGCGTGTGGATAGGGTTCGCGAAGAAACAATGGGGCTTTCTGCAGTTCCTGATAGGGAAGCCTGTGAGAGGGAAGATGGGCAGGCCTAGGAGCATCTGTGCTGACTTCATGGGGGCCTCCCCACCCTACACCCCCAACCCTGGATGCACTGAGGACAGCCCAGTGGGTCACCCAGCTCCTCCCAGCTGCTCAGACCTCACTCTTTTCACACAGGGTGGTAACTCATGCCCCCAAGTCTTATAAAAGCCGAAGAATGTGTTATGGGGCTAGAAGATCCTTAAAGATCTGTGTCCCAGCACCAGGACATGGTGTCAATTCCAAAACTAAAAAGTGTGGAGAAGGCCAGCAGACACGATGGGTGATACTCAACTTGAACGAGCTGTGTGGGCAGCGGGCAGCCACCAAAGCCCTGCTCAGGACAGGTCTTGTCCAAAGGGACTCCATCAGGGTTGATTCCAGAGAATCAGCCATCCAGGAAGGATAGAAAGATGGTCCATGAGAGAGCCCCGATGGATAGAAATCCAAAACTGCAGGAGCCAGCAGGCAGCTAGCTATAAGGGCATATGGGACAGGATTGGAAGATGTCAGTGCTCCTTTATCTTTGGACAAATCCAGGAAGCCTTCCTAGAAGCAGGGGGATTTTAAGCACCATAGGGAGAGCAGAAGGGAAGGGAGGTAATGAGCCCTAACAAGCATTCCCATTTATGCAGCACTCAGGAGGAGGATGGCCCATCTGTGGTCAGGTGTGTGAGTGACAGGCATCTGGGGAAACTTCAGAAGATGAGAACCGGGAGCAGAGCAGATTCAGGTGGAGCTGTGGCTGCTGCCCGGGTCTCCAGGGCTGGGTAAAGCATCTCTCTCGCTCAACTAGGTCTCAAAGGCTTCCTGGAAGAAGTGACCTCTTGGGAGCATTTTACATTGCAGGAAAGATGTGGGTTATTAAGTGCACATTCCTGACACTGGGTGTGACCTTCAAAAGATATGGGAGCAGGAAGGGACAGGACCAAAGAGGGTGATGAATGACAGCACCCAGGACAAGTGGGTGTGGAGGGAGATAATTGGAGTTACCTGGGAAGCCCCAGAAAGGGCATTTTATGAGCTGCCTGCTGAGACAGAAGAGAAATCACAGCCTCCCTCTGACTAGTTCGCAAAGGCTTCCTGGAAGAGGTGGCCAGCCATTTAGGAACATTCCAGGCAAAGGTGTGACCAGAGAGGAGGCTTGGGCGTAGGGAGAGAGATGCAGGGAACCTATAGGGCACAGTGGCAGTAAATGAGAAGGGAGGTCGACTCCCACCCAGAGTTGATCCCATAAGCAGAGGTGGTCACAGATGATGAGTAGAGCCAGGCATTGGGCTATGGCTTGTCTGTCTCTTTCTTGGGAAGAACTAGACAGCAAAGGCTCAGGTCCCATGGGTCTACATAAACTTCCAGGGCTGGTGTGTCAGACTGCCGTGGCCTATGAGTTTCTTGCTTGCCCCAGACACCCTAGGAACAGCCTCACTGAGAACGTAGCCTCCCTTTCCAGCCCAGTGGCTCTAGTCCAAACCACCATGTGGATAGCCTTCCCCAGCAGCCCCGACTGGCCCTGGGCTCGGCTGTGAGCTGCAGCGATGCAAACTTGGCCCAGCGCCCATGAGCACATCCTTTGCCAGGCTGGGGCCTGCCCTCCCTCCTGACACACTCCAGCCCTCCAGCCCTTGTTCCCCACATCTCCTGAGTCCCCCCAACCACCCCTTCCCCATCTTCTGTGCCCAGGCCCAATTCGAGGCAGACGTTTGGAACCTGTGTGTGTGTGTGTGTGTGTGTGTGTTGGAGGCAATGGAGAGCAGCTGACTCAGGAGCCTCCCTCTGGAACAAAGCCTCCACTCCCTCCTGCCCTCCTGTCCCCAAGGAGAGGCAGAAATGGATCTAGCTTCATCCTTTTCAACAAGCTGAAGGAGAGCCGAGGCTTATGAGAGTTGAGAAGAGGGGTTTTGTGGGCTTTCCAAGCTGGCTGAGCAGAAGGTCCACCCACTCTCCACCTCCCACACCCACCCATCCTCCCTCCCCCCGACCCCCCACGATGTTCAAAGGGCCCGAATCCTTTTTGGCCCATACACCAGATCCAGGTCTACACAATAGGCAGTCAGGAGCTCACTGTCCAAGGTGCCAGAATACATCCCTGGACCCAGGCCAGCGGGCCCCCCCCCCCACTAAGGGGAGGGTACTGAGAATCACACTCCTTAGCCTCCTCTCTCCACCCCCAGACTCCACCCCAAATTTTTATACTAGTGAAATCAGGTTAAAGGAAACATTCAAAGCAGCCTTGAAAGGGTAAAGAAGTCATAAAGGTGCAGAGGAGGTGAAGACCATGGGTGGGGCAGGAAGTACACCCACTCTCTGCCGGGTGAGGGGTGCAGGGGGTGGTAGGGACATTCCTGATAGGAAGCAAATCCCCTTCCTTTATTCAGGGAAGCACATGCTTGTGTCTTATGCATGTAACCTTCCCAACAATCCTAGAAGGGAAGGATGAATTCCACAGTACAGTCAAGGAAACAAAAGCTTAGAGCAGTAAGAAGGTCCCCAGAGCTGCACAACTGGGAAGGATCCTCTACCAGTCCTTCTGACTTTGGTTATGCTGCCCAGCCCAGGTTGCTAAGCCCCAGCTGCACCCCCCATGGCTGACTGTGATCTGAAGATCCTTGGGGGCCAGCTGGTAAGGCTGCCTGCCCCTCCCCACCATTGCCCAAAGTCTCTCTGCCCTCCTTGGAAGAACACATGTGGAGTGTGGAGATAGAAAGCAATCATCTTGGTCCTGGGTGAAGACTTACTTCGGGCCCAGCTGTGGAGAGGAGCACAGGACCAGGACAGAACATCAGGCGTGTGAGGGAGGAGGCAGGCAGGGGCTGCCCAGTGGCAGTGACTGTCTCTGGGAGGCTCCCTGGAGGGGTTGTCGCCCTCCGAGGAAATTCCTCTGCCCTTCTTCCCTTCTTCTAGAAGTTCCTAACACCCGGGGTGCCTAGCTGGCCTCCCTGGGGGCAAAGACCACATCCCCCAGCTTTGTGCTCAATGAACATTAAAAGAAGAGCAATCATTATCCTAATAAGTGGCTCCAGGATACACAGGGAAGCAGGGACGTTATGAGGACCTAGGCACCCACAGCCCCCGGGAGGCAGAAATCACAGTGTCCTCTGAGCAGAAAAAGCCACTTTCCCTCCTCCATCTCTAAAGGTTTTCTCTATGAGGGACCGTTTCAGATGTGCCCCCCTTCTGGCTGGTAGTCTTGGAAGGAAGAGAGATTCAGAGAACCTGTTTCTTCTTAGAGACCCAAGAGAAGTTGCCCAGAGCAAGTTCCCAGAAGCCAGGTTATCCCAGGATTGGCTCCCTCCATCCTTGCAATCCAGTGGGCGAAAGTGGCCGAAAGGAAAGCCTCCCCATTATCCCCAAGTAGCCATTATTGTGGCCACTGAGAGTTGAGTGGTTTGCAAATTGCTGGGTGAGAAACGAAGGCTCTGAAACAGAGTCTCTGGTCGAGAATCCAGAAGGTTCTAAGAGACCATGGGCTCTAGCTCTCTGTCCTACAGGGAGCGTGGTCAAAATGGCCCCACGAGTCTGAACCACCTTCCAGGCAATCCTGCGTGGGTGGATTCGACGTGCCTGATCCCTCAGCCCCCGAAACACAGTGATTTATTTGCAAACGTGTCCTGTGTGGAGCCTGGAGGACAGAGGTAATGCGTTCTCGGGATCTCCCGGGAACTGGGGCCCTAGACCCTCCCCCTGAGACAGTGGCCCAGCCTCTACCCCAGCGCCAGCCACCTCAGACTGCTGTGGAGTTCAAATCCGTCTCCCAGTGTGGGTTGGGGCCATCTGAGACTGAGAGAAAATTAATTACTTAATGTATGTAAACGAGCTTTGAAGATGAAAAGTGCAAACACAGTATCCGTAATAACATCTTCAATACTTTTACGGAGGCCTCAAGTCGCCGCTGAGCTCACCTTTAAGATGAGTCTTTGGGGAGTTGCTGGCAAACTCCCCAAGCCAATAAACAACATAAAATGGCTTTTCACTCCTTTTATGCAGCCAACCCCAGCTCTCCCCACCAATAAAAGGCCCAAGGAGGATCAGAGAGGCCAGAGGATCCTAAGCAGCGCACCCAAGACCTCACTCGTTCCCGCCGCACTCAGCCTCTCCCCAGACGCACACGATGTCCTGCCGCTCCTACAGGATCAGCTCAGGATGCGGGGTCACCAGGACCTTCAGCTCCTGCTCGGCCGTGGCCCCCAAAACTGGTAACCGCTGCTGCATCAGCGCCGCGCCCTACCGAGGGGTGTCCTGCTACCGGGGGCTGACCGGCTTCGGGAGCCGCAGCCTCTCCAACCTGGGCTCCTGCGGGCCCCGCATGGCCATGGGCGGCTTCCGCGCCGGCTCCTGCGGCCGCAGCTTCGGCTACCGCTCCGGCGGCGTGTGCGGGCCCAGCCCGCCCTGCATCACCACCGTGTCGGTCAACGAGAGCCTCCTCACGCCCCTCAACCTGGAGATCGACCCCAACGCGCAGTGCGTGAAGCACGAGGAGAAGGAGCAGATCAAGTGTCTCAACAACAGATTCGCTGCCTTCATCGACAAGGTCAGTGAGGCCTGGGATGATGGTCCAGAGAAGGCCCTGGCCTGTCCTCCCCTCGGGAAGGTCCCGTGTGTCGGGGAGACCGTGTGGGGCCAGGTTTGATACGGCGGAGGTAGAGGATGGCAGGCCAACGTAGGCAAAGGATCAGTTTCTGTCTCTTAATCCCAGCAAGGCACAGCAGAGGGCCCAGAGTGGTCCAGAAACAGTCTGTGATCTAAAGTGCATGTGTGCTTCCGGAGACAAGGCCACACGGGAATATCTGAGGTGCCCCGAGAAACTGGATTGGGCACTGGCTGCTACAAGAGTGGGAGATAAGGGGGAGGCAGATGGCTCCCGGCCAGGCGGCTCAGGGAAGTGGGCGGCTGGGCTCAGAGCCACGCCACCCCTCCCCCATCTTTGCTCTGCCCCTCAGCAGTGTAAGACCTCGGGCATGTGACTTGTCTGGATAACAGAACCAGCCCCACATGCTTGTTGTGAGCACTGATGGCTCCATGCTTAGAAAATGCTGGCACATAGTAAGTGTTCAATAAACATTCGCTGTTAGCATTATTCTCCCAGGATGATAGGGGGCAAGGAGGTATGACAGTTAACCAGCCAGGGTTGGCACAGCCACCTTCACGGATGCAGGGCTGGGAATGTGGAAGACAGGCAGCCAGGCTCATAGGAGGAAGCCCACAGATGCTGAGTGTGAAAACCAGCACACTACCGTGAGGCTGCCTCCCAAAAAGGCTACCCATGACCTTCCCTTTGTGCTGGCCCCTCTGCCCACGTGGCCTCATTCTGGCAGAATAGATAGGACCCCGCTCTGGGGTTGGAGGCAGGGGCTCTTGGTGCGCTTAGTTCATCTTCAGAATGACCTAGTGGGGTAGGTATTATTATCTCCATTTTATTTAATGTTTATTTATTTTGAGAGAGAGCATATGCTCAAGCAGGGGAGGGACACAGAGAGAGGGAAATAGAATCCCAAGCAGGCTCTGCACTGTCAGCACAGAGCCCAATGCAGAGCTTGAACCCACGGACCGTGAGATCATGACCTGAGTGAAACCAAGAGTGGGACACTTAACCAACTGAGCCACACAGGCTCCCCTCCATTTATTTTTTAAATATCAAATTGGAGCTGAGACCATTTAGATGAGCTGCTTAGGCGTACTTTGGTGGGACAGGCAAAGGGGACTCCAGGGACAGCAGACCTTGCCTCTCACTTACCATTTGTGTGACAATGGGCTAGGCATCCCAGTGTCCCCATCTGTACTAGAAGGGATATAATATCTGCCCCCAAAGGGTTGTGAAAGTGGAATGTAATTGACAGATGGGTAGATACAGACTGACAGACAGAGCTATAGGGCTGACCCTTGAACAACATGGGTCGGAACTGAACAGATCCACTTATAAGAGGACTTTTTCTGATAAGTACAATACAGTGCTATAAATGCATTTTCTCTTCCTTGTGATTTTCTTAATAACATGTTTTCTCTGGCTTACTTTGGTGTAAGAATACAATATTTAATACATAAACTAAATACATGCTACTTGACTATTTATGTTATCAGTAAGACTTCCAGTCAAACGGTAGGCTAATAGTAGTTACGTTTGTGGGGAGTCAGAAGTTATACGCAAATCTCCAACTGTGTGGAGGCAGGAAAGGGAGGTGTCAGTGCCCTTGACCCCTGGATTGTTCGAGGTCAACTATAGATATAGATGTGTGTCTGTGCGTGTGTGTATCTTAGCATGGGCACTAGCACCACACGCTAGACTTTCAGTAAGTGTTGCATAAATTAATAAACGAGGAACTGCTAATTAAGGTAACAGTTGAATTAGTTGAGCATTTACCATGTGTCAGAAATGTTCTAAGCACTTTTCATGTATTAACTTGTTCAATCTTTATAACTCTAAGGGAGGCACTGTTACCATCTCTGGTTTAGAAATGAGAAAAACAAGACCAAAAGGTTAGATGACCTGCCCACTAAAAGTGGCAGAACTGGACTTGAACCAGACCTCCAGCCTCAAGCCCCAGGGCGCTTGCCCCCACACCCACACTGCCTCCTGGACGCCGGGAGCAAGTCCCCTTGAGTCACAGAGACTCAACCCCATGCCTTGCCTTTGGCTGGCCCTGGCTGTTCAGTGAGCACCCAGGGCAGAAAGATCTTCGGGGGTCCAGGCACCACCCTGGGCTTCCCCTGAGTCTCTTTCCTCCACGCTGGGCGGCAGGTGCGCTTCCTAGAGCAGCAGAACAAGCTTCTGGAGACCAAGTGGCAGTTCTACCAAAACCAGCGCTGCTGCGAGAGCAACATGGAGCCGCTGTTTAATGGCTACATCGAGACGCTGAGGCGGGAGGCCGAGTGCGTGGAGGCCGACAGCGGGAGGCTGGCCTCTGAGCTCAACCACGTGCAGGAGGTGCTGGAGGGCTACAAGAAGAAGTGAGTGCGGCTGGACAGGGCGAACACGGGGAGAGGAGGAAGGCTCCACCCTCAACTTCTTGAAGCAGCTTAAGAATCCTGCCTGTCTAGCAGCAGGGGCTGCCTGGAGCCGAGGGAGGGGCTGTCTGAGGTGGGGCCTGGGTTTCTTCAGAATCTTCGGCCCCACTTTACCCCTTGGAGGGTAAGACCCTCGTGAGTCTTAGAGCTGCTTCGATGGGGAGTGAGGAGAGGAAACCCAATGGAATTCTACAGTTTTCTGTGCTCCTACCCTGCCCAGCTCACATCATGATGCTTGCTCTGTGTTCTCACTGCCCTGGGCACTGGCCCTCTTTGGCTCTATGATGCACAAAGGAATTTAGATTTAGGGAACAGCGTGTGCATGCCCTGATCTCAGCCCAGAAACAGCAGGACTGGGGTGGAATAAGCCAGTCTGGGCCAAGGGTTAGCCCAAGTAAAATAATGCACAAAATAGACACTGGAGAGGACAAGATAGTATTCTCTGGGACTCAATCCCTTTTGATTCCTGGAAGATCTTGCCTGGAAGCTGGGATATTATCCAAGACTGGACCCCTCAGCTGTGACCCCTCTTTACCCACCCTCCCAAACCCAGGTATGAAGAGGAGGTGGCTCTGAGAGCCACGGCAGAGAACGAGTTCGTGGTTCTAAAGAAGGTGAGGGGGCTGATCGTGGAGCAGGAAGGGAGGGGGACCCATCTGGCCAGCCTCCATCAGGGCACGGTCACCACACTGACCCCAGAGGCCTCCCACACATACACACCCTGCCTTTCCCTCCACCACCAGGACGTGGACTGCGCCTACCTGCGGAAATCAGACCTGGAAGCCAATGTGGAGGCGTTGGTGGAGGAGTCTAGCTTCCTGAAGCGCCTCTACGATGAGGTAAGGGAGCCCCTGCCGACCAGCCACAGCAGGTAGAGGGGAGGTGGGGGACCTGAGAAAGAGGGGAAAGGGTGTGCCGTGTGCACGTGTTCACCTGATGTGTGTGATGTGGCCCAGGAGAACATGCGGACATATCTGAGAGGGCCGTGTTGCATGTATGTACGCAGGGAGAGCCTTGCACGCGTGTTTGAGGACCGAGGAGTGTGTGGGCCCTCGGGCTTCTCCATGTCTGTGGAGTTGTTGTTGCAGTGTGTGTGCCTGTGTGCTGGTCTGGGGGCGTGTCAGTCTGTACACAGATATGCAAGTGTACATGTGAGGGTGGGGGTGCTCAGGGTGGGTCTCCGGTTAGAGAGGAGTCTTAATGAATGGACAAATCACTGGTCTTGGCATTCAAACCCCAGCCACCCGGCTGGGTGACTTTGAGTCAGGTCTTTTTCACATGCGGGGCTTCAGTTTTCACATTTGTTAAGTCAGGGGCTGTCCCCAGCTCCTCTCTGGGGCCCCTTCCAGCCTCCTTGTTTTATGATGTGCCTCTGTGTGAATGAAGGGGGGAGGAGAAGCACGCGGAGCAGGTGTCATGGAACGTGCATGACCAGTGCCCCCTCCAGAGAGTGGACACTGCCCCTAAGGGTGGAGCCCATGGCCCAGACCAGGCACCAGACCCAAACGCATTGACTGTTGGCCCCCAGGAGCTCCAGGTTCTCCACGCCCACATCTCCGACACCTCGGTCATCGTCAAGATGGACAACAGCCGGGACCTCAACATGGACTGCGTTGTGGCCGAGATCAAGGCTCAGTACGACGACATCGCCAGCCGCAGCCGGGCTGAGGCCGAGTCCTGGTACCGCAGCAAGGTGAGGGGCACAGGACACCTGCCTCTAGACATGACAGTGGGAGGGAAGCCAGGTGTATATTAAAGAAGGTCTCTCTTGTCTGAGGATTTTGATTTGTAGGGATGGTAAGACGACAGACATCTCTCAGTTTGGATGGTAAAGCAGGGCTGTCATGTATAGTTGCATAGGCTGAGCACTGTACAATCTCCCAACCATCTGTGGTATCTGAATGGGAGGAAACTCCCATCCTGAGCCTCAGGAACATCTCGGCTTGCCCCCAGTGTGAAGAGATGAAGGCCACGGTGATCCGGCACGGGGAGACCCTGCGCCGCACCAAGGAGGAGATGAATGAGCTGAACCGCATGATCCAGAGGCTGACTGCCGAGATCGAGAATGCCAAGTGCCAGGTATGGTACAAGGAGAGTTGGGCAGGGGGAGGATGTAGATCACAGTCTGCACAGGCACACTAGAGCACTGGGCATCTTGCCCCCCAGGAGGGCAAAGGCCTGGTCCAAATGAGGCTTCACAGTGTGCCTGTGAGGAAGCAGGGACCCAACCAAATCGCACAACACTTGAAGCAGGATAGGCCATTTCACTGATGTCACCCTCCTTGGCCACTCAGCAACCACCGCCAGGGAAAGGTGGTGAAAGCCCCCATCTCCTTCCTGTGTTCAAGGTCTCATTAGATACGTAATTTCTCTCTGGACCCTGCTCTCCCTGCCCCCACTCCTTCAGCTCCGGTGAGCCAGGCTGTGCCTTCTCTCTCTTATCCTTGCCCTCACATCTCCTTCCTCCTAGCGGACCAAGCTGGAGGCTGCCGTAGCCGAGGCAGAGCAGCAGGGCGAGGCGGCCCTGAGCGACGCCCGCTGCAAGCTGGCCGAGCTGGAGGCCGCCCTGCAGAAGGCCAAGCAGGACATGGCCTGCCTGCTCAAGGAGTACCAGGAGGTGATGAACTCCAAGCTGGGCCTGGACATCGAGATCGCCACCTACAGGCGGCTGCTGGAAGGCGAGGAGCACAGGTAGGGCTAAGGAGGATCTCCTCGCCAATAGGAGGGCCTGGTCTCCTGGGAGTGTGTTTCCCTCAGCCCAAGTGTGAGCTACGTCTCTACCCCCTGCTAGTACAGCTCAAGCTTCAATAATCGTCATCATTTATCCGTTACTTAGTATGTGTTGGCCCGTGCCACATGCTCATTTTAATCTCCACAATCCAATGAGGTAGGTGTCACTTTTCACATCCAAAGATGAGGAAATAGGGCTCAGCGTGCAGTGACTTTCTCGTGGCCACAGTGAATAAGAAGTGCAAGAGGCAGGACCTGTGCCCAAGTCGTGTGCCTCTCAAACCCAATTTTTCCAGAAGCTCCCTACGCAAGGCTCGTGCACCGTCAGGACAATGCACTCCATATGCTCTTCCACTAGCTCTTCTTGCACTCCACTAGCTCTTCACTGGCACAAAGCCCTTCCACACACATTGCTGCATTTGATCTGACTCTCCTTTCCATGAGCCTGACCAGCACTACGCAGGGTGCGGGGTCGCTCGGATTGGCGGCAGCCGGCAGAGTTCATCATCGCGCCCACCTCTGCTTGAAATCAGAAGGCTGTCTGATTCTGTGTTCCGAGAACGGTTAGAGAAAGAACCTGACTTTGGGGGGCCCTCCCTGCCTTGGGAGGCAGTATCTGTAGACAGGAGGGCCTTCTCTGTCCCTGCCTCAAGGTATCCAGCTCAGTGTCCTTAGCTAATCGAGTTTTCTTTCCCCGCAGGCTGTGTGAAGGTGTGGGCTCCGTGAATGTCTGTAAGTATCTGCTTGAACATCCTCCAAAAAAATGGCTTTGTGTATGGGCTAAACTGAACCTGGAATGCTTCCGGACGGGGAGGAGGTAGCCTCCTCCCCCGGCTCCTCATGGGGAGCATCACTGAAGTTAGGGAATGCCGCGTTGAGCGCCCTCAACTGGTGGCGATGTGAACTGCAGGCCGTGGAAATGGGGCCGTGGCTGCTTTGCCCCTCTGGGTAGGGGGTGCTCACTTCCTTCCTGTCCCCGCCCCCTAGAAGGGCTGAGATGCTGAGAGGACCTGGGCCTCAGTTATTAACCAGTATGCCTCTTTCCGGAGGAGGAAGCTTCTGCTATACGGAAGCTCCTTGGTTGGTGAGGTGAGGGCAGGCCTCTCACCCTCTGTGTCCCCTCTGTCCCCACAGGCGTCAGCAGCTCCCGCGGCGGAGTCTCCTGTGGGGGCCTCACGTGCACCACCACCCCGGGGCGCCAGATTGCCTCTGGCCCCGTGGCCACGGGAGGCAGTATCACGGTGATGGCGCCCGACTCCTGTGCCCCCTGCCAGCCCCGCTCGGCCAACTTCAGCTGCGGGAGCAGCCGGTCTGTCCGCTTTGCTTAGAGTCCGAGGCTGCCTGCGTTCTTGTCCCCGGAGCGCAGGACGGGGTGTGAGTGGAAATCGTGTGCTTGCTTCCGGAATCTTCCACATGTTCCTACAGAGGGAAAGACCCTCAGCCGCGCTCTGCCACCTGCTCGTTTTAGGGAGTTGTTTTCCTGGTTCTCCTCTGGGCTTCAGTTAGAGAGTCTTTCCCAGCCCTTCCCGGAACTCCGGTTTGATTCCAAAACACAGTGGCTCGTTTGTATTATTCTCCAAGCTCTCTGGGACACTACCAATCACCCAGGGTGGCTGGGCTTCATGGGAGCCTGACCTTCCCCTGAGACAAGGAATGAGGCTAACATCGAGCTGAGTCTCCCACAACCTGAGAATCTGAGACTAAGTCCTCCCTCCCAACAGCTACCCTCTCCTGGCAGGGAGGTCGGCTGGGGGGAAGCACTTGCCCCAGGGGTTATTTTTGTTTGAGTATTGCTTGTCTCTCTGACTGACTGCCTTCTTTGGGTTAACCTGTCCCAGCCAAACTCCTCCTGTGACCTCCCAGTTGATGGGCCATTACAGAGGGGAAATCTTTTTGACCTGGGACAGGTCTTGCTATTCATTGCACCTTTATACATTTCAAAAAAAAAACTCCAAGGTTGCTCCAGATCGCCCCCTGCCGGTGCAGGAGGGATCTGTCTGATGCAGAGCCGGTGGGATGGAGAAGGTTAGGCCACTTCCTGGGTCTCCCTCTTGTTAAGACTGTCTGTGGGTGCCTTGCCTTCTGGGTTGTCTCAGCCTGTGTTTCAATAAATGCTGCTTCCGTGCAAGGATATGTAGTCTTGTGAATGACAGTGACTCGGCCCCAACCCCACCTGTGCGACACTCAGCCCCATCTCCAGCCGGCCAATCCTTTCCAGCCCCAGGCAATGTTTCCCTGCCCTCCAGTGATTTTGCCTCTTCTCCCAGCCCAGTCCTCCTCAGTCCACTCAGGCTTGGACTACAGCTCCAGCTCCCCCCTTGACCTTCCGCTCCCTGTCCCCACCCACTATGCCCCCAGCAGCCAGAATCCCACCCCAAATTCATTGTTCTCACCCCCTGTCACCTGCTTCAAACCACTTCCCAGCACGCGTTTGTGATCCTTATGCTAAGTGCAGGCTCCCTCCATCTCCTCTTTCCACAGCTGCTCCCCAGCCCTTTGCAACACACCCATCCCAGTGCTGATCTTCCCAGATGCCCCCTCCACCCCATGGAGACAAGCCCCCCCTTTAAGCCACCTGTGACCATCCTACCTGGACACATAAGCCATCCCACGCCTCTCCTCCCTTTGCCCAGTGCTCTCTGCGCTCTCCCTTTCTACCCTCCCTCCCACACTCACCATTCCCCTACCCCTACCCCACACTGTCTCCCCACCCTGAGGATCTCTGGATCTGACCTTGTGGCTCATGGCCAGGGAGGTCACTGGGTGTATCTGGAGCCTGGATCAAGCTGTGGAAGCTCTTTCAGGGCAGGAAGTATCTTCCCCTAGCTCTGCCCCTCAACTAAGTCCCAGGGTGGGGCTCCAGGACTTGTCAGGCCTGGGATGGTTGGATGAACTTGGGCACCTGGGAGAGCAGGAGAAGCCATGTGGACTCACTTCCATATCTCCATTAGGAAAACAGTTTGGCTGGGGCGCCTGGGTGGCTCAGTCGGTTAAGCATCCGACTTCAGCTCAGGTCATGATCTCACGGTTTGTGGGTTCAAGCCCTGCATCAGGCTCTGTGCTGACAGCCAGCTCAGAGCCTGGAGCCTGTTTCAGATTGTGTCTCCCTCTCTCTCTGACCCTCCCCTGCTCATGCTGTCATGCTGTCTCTCTCTCACTCTCAGAAATAAATAAAACATTTAAAAAAAAAAAAAAAAAGGAAAACAGTTTGGCTGTTACCATTCTAGGCGGATGTCCGCCTGCCAGCCCCCTCTGCTGCCCCACCCCCAAGCCTTTCCCTGGGAGGAGAAGTTGAGTCTCTGTGTGCTCTGACGAACCCCGACTTCAGCCCCAGAGACTTACAGATCCACTGTGGAGGCAGCCGGCCCCTTCCGCGTGCTCAGGCTGCTGCCATTTGAGGTTTGCCGGGTGACACTAGGCAGGCCTCCTCCAAGTTTCCCACTGGCCTCCCTCCTTTCACTCACCTCCCTGGGCCTCAAGGCCATGCTCATAACCACAACAGGACAACATTCACTTTAGGGCACATCATTCATCCATAGGAAAGGTAGAAAATTAGGGGCTGAAAATCAAAACTTGAGCATGAACTCTGCCGTTTCTCAGTGAGACATCGGGCAAGAAGTGGCCCCCATGCATTTTAGATCAGCCTGGGGGGTATGTGACATGAGCCACCTCTGGTCCTCTTAGCTCCTGCGGTCCCGGGTTGCCCGAGTGAGTCTGTGTTTGGGGAAGACACCTCGATGTTACCATAGGTCTGGGCCAAGCATAACCAAGATGCCAAATCTGACAGCCCCAAAATCGGACATTATGCACTGAAAAAGTCAAACAGCCACAAGCTGGGAGATATTAATAAGCTTTTTAATAAGTTTCCGTGCTTTGTGTGCAAAGACCAGTCAATTGACTCAGCCAGCCAGAGGTGCTGTTGCCTTCTGAGGATGAAACCTCCCCCGCCCCGCCCCAGCCTTCCCGGCAGCCAACAGCAAAAATGCCAAGCAAGCTCCTCTAGTTCAAAGAATTCTGTGGCTCCCATAGCCCAATCCTGATAAAAGAACAAAGCAAAGGATATAATCCAAGGGCAACTAAGGATTAAAGCTTTATTAGAAAAAAATTTTTAATAACTTTTTTAAACGTTTATTTTATTTTTGAGAGGGGGGGGCAGAGAGAGAGAGGAAGACAGAGGATGGAAAGCAGGCTCCTCGCTGTCAGCGTAGAGCTCAATACAGGGCTTGAACCCATGAACCATGAGATCATGACCTGAGCCAAAGGCAGACGTTTAACTGACCGAGTCACCCAGGGACCACCCCCCCAGAAAAATATTTTAAGGAGAAGTCAAGGGGTCTGAAATCAAAAGATCAGGTAAATCCAGAGGGAGTGGCCCAAACAATAAAGTTGGCCCATATGGGTGATTCCAGAGTTCTTGCCTGGACTCCTTTTCCCTTGAAACTCCACAAACCGAGTAGGACATCAGTCAGAGAAAATCAGACCTTCTGTTTGTTTTCTACTCTTATTCAAATCTCCAATGTCCCCCCAAAATACAAGAGTCTCCAAAGGAAGACGGAAGTATGGCTTATAGTCTTTTCCAAAAAAGCAGGTCAGTTTGGGCTTTGCTGTCCTCTCCTTTCCTCGCTGAGGCCACAAGCTCTCCTCTGCCGAGTCTCAAACACCCTCCCCTTGCGCTATCCTCACAATACGCACTCCCAGGTCGGCTCCTTCCACCAGCCCAGTATCTCCAACTTCCCTGCTTCAGTCTTTGGGACCCCAGGACATACAGATTGGTGTCATTATCCACCTGAACTAGGCACAGTGAGAAACATAAATTCACCACACGATCAAGGAAATCGCTAAGTGTATCAGTCTTTGTGGTGGGCATGGACACTGGAAATGGCTATCTGGGAATTACCCCCTGTCTGCATCTGCATGCCACCGCCACACTCTGGGAACGTGGACTCTGAGAAGAGACTGTATTGAATGTTTTGTTCATTGAAAACTAGAGCGTTGAGGACAGCTAACTAGCTTCTGCTCTCTTGGGGTCAGGAGACTTGCACTGGGGAGAGGCTGAGTTCATGACTGCCTCACTCCACTTTGCTGCACTTCCTCCAACCCTCACCACACCCCCTTTGGGCCCCCTGGAAATCCCTGCCCACTTCCACTTTGTTCAAAAGCAAAGGATCCCCCAACATGCCCACTCTTACTCTCTTGGCACTGTTGGACGGCAGGGGGGAGGGGGAGCAGTGAGAGGTGGGGGGTGGAAAGCCGGGGAATGGAGTGGGATGGAGGCAGCGCTCAAAGGAATGAGCTCTTGCATTAAAAATGGAGAAAATGGGGCACTTAGGTGGCTCAGTCAGCTAAGTGTCCGACTTCAGCTCAGGTCATGATCTCATGGTTCATGAGTTCAAGCCCCACCTCATGCTCTGTGCTGACAGCTTAGAGCCCGGAGCCTGCTTCGGATTCTGTGTTTCTGGCTCTCTCTGCCCCTCCCCCACTCAGTCACACTCTGTCTCTCTTTCAAAAATAAATAAACATTTTAAAAAATTTCTGTAATGGAGAAAACACCAGAGACATGAAAATGTGAACACAGGCTCTCTACCACCAAAACCTGAAAGAAAGGCAGACCCTCCCCCATCCCACCCCCTGTTCTGCCGCAGGGCAGCAGGTGCCATTTGAGACTCCTTTTCCTCCTCAGAGCAGATCTAATGGCCCTTTGAACCTGATTTTACCTCCACTCAAACTTGGTGGGATCTAGACCGTGGTGTGCTAGTGGGGCAGCCCCTGCGGAACCCTCCAAGGCCAGGAGGCAGAGACTAAGGGAGCAATATACTTAAAAAAGATCCTGGCCTTCCCCGGGACCCAAGAGAATCATGTGTGTCCCAGAAGACAGATTCTGAGGGCATTAGAAGGACTGCATGGCCCAGAGAACTGCTCCAAGGTTTCTCTATGTCTTGAGATCAAGTATATCTTCTTATGGCAAAATATCTTCTGCCCAGTCAGGCTGTTTTTTTAATCTCAAATAAAAGTGGAAGTAGAGTTGTTCCTGTAAATCAAATAAAGAAACTTGTCCATCAGAAACCCCTCTTTCCACATCATCAGGGGGACCCTCCTTTGCATCAGAAGGGACTCCAAACTTGTTGAACTTGTTGGGGACTGTCAGTTCAGGAATAGGCCAGAGGCAGAGTTCCCCAATCAATTACCCCATTCAGGCCATCGGGGAAAATGTCCTCCAACCAGAGGTCTGGATTTTATTTCTGAGTCCCCACGTAGTTGGCCTGTTATTAACTACCCCCTAATAAGACCTGTCCAAGATTCTTGGAAAGCAGAGATTATGAAAGTTCTT